CTCCGTTTCTTCAACCCTGCCATTGCTTCCTCTTGTCAAACAAAGCCAGACGCTTTGTTTAGCTGTATTACGTGTGAAAACGACCTGTTCAGCTCCCTCAGACTGGGCTCTGCTGATGCACGGTGGTACCGTGGAGTCCGCTCTGACTCACAGAAACGTGGTCTCTGAAGCGTGTCAACGTTGTAGAAACACAAAAGCATCTCCTGATTCGGCCTGCCTCTTTCCTCCTCCTAGTAGTGTCATTAAGTGTTATAGTTGAGGTTTATATCGCCCTCTAGAGTCTCCTTTACTGGAAGAATTTCCTATTACCGAGCGGTCCAGCAGGGCTTTTCCTAATTTTTCAGTTCAGTTGAACTCGTAAGTAAACCTTGAGATTTCAAGTTACATCATAACATTTTAATAAATATAATAATTTATCTAATTACAGTTTACATTTTTTAGAATAGCCTATGATAAAATGCTACTGTAAAAATGTATTAATATACATTAAGTTCCTTTATACAAGGTAAAAATGTCACAGTAAAATACTGTTTAGTTTTTGGAAATGAAAATGAAGTCAGTGAAAAAAAAAAATAGACCGACATGCCCAGAATTTTCTTTGAGATGCCTCAAATTTGTTTTTTTCTTAGATTTTTCCTAATCTGTTATGTTATGGTTTTATGTTACATCTTATGTTAAATTAATATGTATTGCGTTATTTTAGTGTTGTGTGCTACCATGGTGTTTTGTAGGCTATTTGTGTGCATGACACTGTACCTTCTATATATTAATATTTACTAACTTGTGATGATCTTTCATTCATCACATGGCTTACATCTGTTTATTGGTGTTTGTCAGTGTATTACAAAACAGATTTTAGTAGACTGTTTAAGTTTTAAAACCTAAAATGTTTCCTCCATTTATTTACCATAAATTTCACAGATTTTAGTGTAGTCTACAAGCTTATGACAATCAATGTGGTAAATTATTTCTCTTGATATAAATATTTTGAATAGTATGAAAAACTATAGTTTGAAGGCTTTAGAAAGCAAGTGTACAATACTAGAATATAAAAAAAAATATTTTGATTTAACATTAACACATTTTTAATTTCATTTGGTATTAGCATTTCTAGCACAATCTTACAAACCCCCTGCAGTTCCACCATTCCACCTTGAAGTTCTAGGCAGCTGGCTCAGAAACCCTTCTAGATGTTGAGTTTTTCTAATTAGTCTGACGTTTTCTATTTTAAATATTTAGAATATAATCCTTGGCTAGACACGAATTCCCATAACTTGTCATTTCAGCTCTTGAAAATTCTTTAGACTCAAATTCCTTTGATCATAATGTCTGAAGAAACATGAAAAAATAACAAAGTTGTCCCTGCTAATTTCCTGTTTGCAGGTAAAGGCCCTTGCAACATCACAAATGTCACATCCCTGTGGGCTTTAAAGATATTGGTTCTCAAATTAAACAAAACAAAAACTTAAATTTCATCCAAAAGCTTTTGTGTTTCAAAGAGAAAGACTTATATGTCACATGCCTACAAGGTATCAATCTCTGATGACCTGGAGAGTATAATCTGCAGGGGGCAAGTGTGTTGTACTAATACTTATGAACTTCGTGACCTGTTTTAAGGTTGTTCATCAATGCATGTTTGAGAAAAACCTGCCACCTGCATTCTCTTTGCACATGCGCTCATTTGCACATTTTTTACATTAGCCTCCCCATCACGAGAATTACACTTTATTTATGGTGTATGTTTGCTCAGCTTAAAGATAAATGAGACAGCAGGTGACTTTTTATTTGATAAGTCATGGTTGCTGCTGTGTTGTGCCCTGATATTTAAGAGTTCAGTTTTCCTTCTCTATAGGAGAGAGGGGTGTAGGTGTCTCAGTTCCCTGGTACCACAAGGGCTGGTTATCATTAAAAGTAGAAAACAATCAGCTCTCATCTGCAAGTGAAACTTCGGAGGGCCTGTTGGGTTTTGGACAAGATTTAATGTATATTTTTAGATGTACATCTTTTCCCAATTTGTTTGATTTAGGGAGGAAAGCAACTGGATTGGAGTTCTGAAAAACATATTTAAGCCATAGGTTCCTGTTTATAGAAAGCAAATAGGACTGAATGGAGTTTTCTTTTTGTCTAAGAATAACCTGCAAAAACATTGAAGAACAAAACCATAGTAGAGGAAGCAGCCTGACATTAGCAGCTTTCATCTGTAACTTCTATTCATTTAGCGATGCCTGATCATCAGCTAAAGAGACCACAGAAGACATCAGTGTCCACTATCCCTTGAGATACTCCAGTTGCATAACTTATTTTTATTGATCACAACTGTGACCCATCTCCAGCATTTTTCAAAGAAGAAGTCTTGATCTGCTGCTCTTTAATCAATTCACCTATAGTTTGTTTTTCCTGTAGAGCTCAAAGAGCATGTTTCCAAATGCTCTCACACAATGATGGGAAACCATGGTGTGTTTGGGATACGCAAAAACCCAGTGTCTCATCCCATTTTTATAACTCATGCAGCCAAGAACAACAAACATGGAACGGAATCTTTTTGAACCAAGTTTGAGACAAAACTCAATCCAGGTTCCCCAGCCTTTCTAAACACCCACACCCCGGCCTTATTCTTGGTCTCTTGTTTTTTAAGGTGCCGTCTAGCTCGAACTGATGTGAAACTTGCTCTCCACTGTTTTGGGTTTATTGCCTGGAATCTTCTTTACTCTTAGAGAAGAACAATAAATATCAGCCATGGTTATCAAAAATTAGTACTCAAAGCAAGTTAAGTGCTTTAAAAAAAAAAAAAAAACTACCTTTCAACAATGTTTGCAATAACATAAAACAAAAGTAGCCTTAACTTTTTTTAGCCTTTAAATTCACAGTGCACCTAAAAAATTATATATAATGTTAAATGATATAACTACATAATTAATGTTACACTATGAATTCATTTTCAAATAAGGGTTTAAATCTAAAAAAAAAAAGTGTGATTTCACAGTCCACCAATAAAGACACAGCTCAATTATTATTTTTTATTTTTTTCATTTTTACACATTAAAATGTTAATACACAACGGCCTGGTTTCACAGACAGGGCTTAGACTAAGAAGATATTTTGAAGACTAAAGAAGATATTTTGAATATTGCTGGTAATCAAACAAACCATAGTAAAAAAAAATAATACTATGGAAGTCAATGGCAACCACCAACTGTTTGATTACCAGCAATCTTCAAAATATCGTCTTTTGTGTTCAACATAAGAAAGCAACTCATACAGGTTTGGAACGACATACGGTGAGTAAACGATGACAGAATTGTCATTTTTGGGTGAACTATCCCTTTAAGCCTTGTCTGTGAAACCGGGGGTACATCAGACAGCATGAATGAGAAGATACATTGTGCATTTGTTGATGTTCACCTCTGGGTCTGTAGGCTCCCCCTCTGCTTAGTCCGGACCTAACCAGCACCTGGTGCAACACTTGCTGGGATGGGGCCTCCATAAACCTACGGCACCACCTTCTTCCTGCCTAAATCCCTAGGGCACATGCTTGTGTCCGCCCAAAAGTAAAACAAAACTAAATCAACCAAAAATGGCCCAAATGTAAAAAGACTTCTGGTTCCTACAAAAATCCCACAAAACTAATTAATAAAATACAGCGTTTGCATGCAATCCAACAAAGAAATCATATTAACAAAGTTCTGCAAACATTTGCATCATAGAATTTATAAATAAGTGAGTTATGAAAATGACTTGAGATGATAAGTGAAGGACGAGGCTGTCTTTAAAACAAAACTAGTTTTAGTGTTAAACTGTGATTATTAATTTCCCTTAAAAATGGAAGGCCTCAAGCTACTTAAAAAGCACAAAACAGAGGCAAATCCTACCAAAAGTGTGTGGAGGGGAAAACGTTTAAATACCAATGACAAATGACCCTCATGCCAACCCACTACAGCAAAGAATCAGAATGTCACAAAATCTCAAACTATAATTCATCCACTGCATAATTCAAATTCAAACAACAAAAGGTGTCTTCACATGCTCTTCAAACTCTGCTTCAATGAGAAAACATTGTTCCAGGGCCTCCTGATGTGAAAGAATGTTCACTACTCTGAGAGCAGCTAAAGACTTGGGCAAGTGTAGGGAATTGATCCCAGTCTCCATGTAATCTGGTGTTTGTACAGTGCAAATCCAGCTTTCCAGTCTAGTTAGTATCACTCTGAATTTCAACCATGAACCCAATAGGGAGAAAACCAGGTGGCCCATTCAAACGAGAGGCCACTTTAGGGACAGTTTATACAAGAACATTGTTATTCAGCTATCACAAAGAGACCAGCGCCTCTTAGTAATTATAAAGCTGCATGCTGAACTTCTGCCGTTTCTGCACTCCCTGAAACAACTGAATATTGACGTTACTTCTCAACCATATCATCAGCAATCCAAAAACCTCCTGGACGTTTCAAACAAGCTTAGAGTCTCATTTTAACGGTTTCATTCTTATTGCCATTTACAGCATGTTTAAAGGAAAACGGAATGATCACGATTAAACTAGCCTATAACGATCAATTGGTCTTACTGTAGATCTCATTTCTACAAAACTCCCCATGATGTAAATGCACAATTAATTTACAGATAAATAATATTACAGGTCCTGGACGTTTCAAACAAGCTTAGAGTCTCATTTTAACGGTTTCATTCTTATTGCCATTTACAGCATGTTTAAAGGAAAACGGAATGACCACGATTAAACTAGCCTATAACGATCAATTGGTCTTACTGTAGATCCAAGAGGGAGCTGTTTGCTACTATATTAAAAGGAAATGTGCGTGTTTCATACTGAAATTAGAATTTTCTGAATTCTAGTATTATTTTCAATACTTGAACAAATACAGCGAAATTGCATGAACCTTTTGTCAGAGGAATAAACAGACCCTACAACATTTTTGTTAATCCCTTTCAATGGAATCTCTCCGATCTACACCTAAATGCCTGGTTGGAAATGGTGAATTAGAAAAAAATCTAGTTAAGACATTATGGATATCAGACGTCCACAATAAAGTGACTGATGAGTCGGTGCTTGTTTTGGAGGTTAAGATGTGAATTAGGTCACTGAGTTTTGTTGCTACTTCATAGAGGGAGCATCTTGGAGGAAGGGGGTGAAAGAAGAACGGACAGTCCGTCCCTTCAAAGCCTGCTGAACACGGAAGTTGTTGACCATGCTTCTCTGCACCTGCTCTTCTGCCGATGTGAACAGCAAGCTTCGAAACACTGCCAGCTGAGAAGACAAAAAAGAACGGAAGATAATATGTAAAAATGGGAACAAATTCAAATAAAAGGCATTTAGAATGAGAGCAAAAAATAAAAGGAAATTTGTATATAAAAGATGGAGAAAACAGATGTCAGCAGTCAGCCAGATGAACTTTTCCGTGCCATGGAGCAGTGGAACATTATGTCGGAATAACAAACAGACTCCCAGCAGAGTTAAAACAGCCAGTGTGAGGGGTGTCTCAAAGCATGAATTTATGGCATTCATCAGCTGTTTTTAAAAGGGTCATATATACATTCAGAACTCAAATTCCTTAGCATTCTCTTAGCATTGTAAACAAGCGGTCAAAAAACTTGTTCTGAAGTTTCACAGCTTTCTGATGGTGTGAAAAATATATATTATTCCTAAACACCAGGAAAACGAATGGCAAGTCTTAAAATGCAATAATCCGGCAAACCCTGCACTGTACCTAGCTGCGTATAACCTACAGCTCTGCATGTCCTAAAGTTAAATTAGTGGCTTATTTACATCCTTGATCATTTCAGTGTGATCTCAATCGTTAAAGTATTTTAGCGTGGATTGTTTTGAGATTCTTTTACAAAAGATTTGAAGAATAAATCATTTTTAGCGCAATTTCACACCTTGCTTGTTTGGAGCATTCGTTTTGGAACCTCGTGCGTTTTCTCCTTTAGTTCGATTCATTTAGTCACATGAACACAACATTCTCGCTTGGATCCACACCAAAATAATCTGTCCAGGACTGGCTGAACAAGGTGGTCTCAGTCCAACTGAAAAGCAAACCACTCCAGAGTTTGTGGTGAAAAAGCAATTGGACCCATTCAAGCTAAAAAGCGGTTTTATAATTCTTAATGGGAAATGCGTAAAGGGTTAGTTCACCCAAAAAAAAACATTTCATTAATTACTCATCCTCATGTCATTCCAAAACCGTAAGGCCTTCGTTCATCTTCAGAACACAAATTAAGATATTTTTGATTAAATCCGAGAGCTCTCTGACCCTCCATAGACGGCAACGCAAGGCATTATAGTAAAAGCATCGTTAAAAATAGTCAGTGTGACATCTGTGGTTCAAATATAATTTTATGAAGGTATGAGAATACTTTTTGTGTGCAAAGAAAAAAATAATGACTTTATGCAACAAAATAATTACTTTATGCATCGTGGTACTGTCATGAACGCGCTTCAAGTCTCGGAAGAGAAGAGATTATTGAATAAAGTTGTTATTTTTGATTTCTATGCACACAAAATGTTTTCTCATAACTTCATAAAATGACGGTTAAACCACTGAAGTCACATGGACTATTTTCCTGACGTTCTAACTACTTTTCTGGGCCTTGAATGTAGTAATTGCGTTGCTGTCTATGGAACGACATGAGGGTAATTCATTTTCATTTTTGGGTGAACTTATAATTGTGTAATTTATATTACACAATTACTTTAATTTGCAAAAACATATGTTTTTCTAGCTGAGCTATTCTTTTTTTTTTTTAAGCAAATAAAGCAATACAAACAGACAAACAAAGCGAGAAAAAGATATGTACCAAGAGAATGCAATTGCAGCAATTGTGTTGGCTTTCGAAAGAAAGAAAGAAAAAAAATTACAGGAGGAAACATTTAAACAAGCTGACAAATAGGAATATGGAAAAAGCTGAGCTATTCTAATAAGATCAGTTGGCCAGTTGTACTGTTAAATTTGCTATCAGGGAAAAAATATCCCCTTAATTTCCACAATTCCACATTCCCCAAACATATCGGCCTCCTACCTGATCATGACTGACTTCAACGTGCTGTTTCATCACAATCCATGTCACCGCCTCAGTAAGAGGAGGAGTGGTCAGAGAACCTGCATATGTCCAATAATCATCAATTTTCTCCGGGAGGAGACATGCAGGGTCGAACTTGGTGAACTCTACCACGCTATCCTGAATGGAAAAGGATGAGGATATTACATACTTTGAAAGTATAAAACAAAATGTATGAACAAGTTTATCCTTCATCCCACTGTTTCCAAAACATCACGCTCTGAGGTTCTTAATCTCACAACACAAAGCCGAAGCTCAGAGTGTACAAAACATAAAGTTTAATCATGCCTTACCTTGTGCCTGACTGCAGGCAAGGCATCCACCAATTTCTGCAAACCCTCGTGTCTCTTTCCAATCTGTGAAAAACACAAATTTTTTTTTTGCAATTACAAAAGCCTTCTCAGCTTAAAGATCTAGGAAAAATAAGTTTTATAATAATTACACACATCAGTACCTTCAGAAAGACCGCAATAACAGCTAGTCCATTCTCCTCAATAACAGCCTCCTCAAACAAACTGTACTTGTCCGAGTTCCAGTGAACAAGATGAAGCTGTGACGACACAGAAAAGATACGCACCCATGCCAATATGATTATGAATGATACTAATGAGCACATTTCCCATAATGCCTTTCATTTGGTTCAGGTTACTACAGTTGTTCGTCCTGTTACACAATCCTGCAGTTGAACATAGCTAGTTTTTGTGCTTTTGACGTACCGCAATGGTTTAAACCTACACCCGTACAAATGGACAGAACTCCATTCATTCTGGAACGATTCGATTTAACCAAGGAGGCTGGAATGAAACCACTTTACGCAATACAGGATACATTTACAGGACTGAAATTTGAGCTGTTAAACACACACACACACTCAGTAGAGCTAAAGGAGTGTTGAGAGCAGTAAGGAGGTCACATTCTCACCAGCGCTAACAAAGACAAACTTGGCTTTTTGGCATAGTAGTCGCTCACACATGTCTCCTTATGTAATTGGCTCGGAGTTAAAGCAGTACAGTGTACTTGTCTTGGGTTAGTGCCACATATTTATCGAGATGACTCTCTTACAATAGAAATAGCCGGTCGTTCCTAACGGTAAAGTCTCCGCCCTCTGTTATAGAGAAGCTCTGTCTGTGTCGCAAGAGAGAAATACTTCCTCATAGTAAAAACGACATTCAGATGGCTCAAAAAGATGACCAAGTAAGTAATGGAGTGATTTTGTAGTACTAAAAGTACTAAAAATACCTCAGCAGGGTAAAGGCGGCGGTCTATGGAGTGTTCAGAGCCCCAGGCGTTGTTCTCCCCCCAGTGAAAATGAAACTGACACAGTCTGAACTGATCCTCCAATGGGCCTCCTTTCAGAGCTAAAAGAGATTCATGTGAGTTTAGAGTTTTCTCACACCAAAGAACAGCTGATTTTTTCATTTCAGGCAGAGTTATTACACAAGAATACAATTGAAAACAAAATGTTTTTGTTGTGTTCTTGGTAACACCTTGGAAATTCCTACTTGAATAAAGCTAACATAAATATAATTTTTTCTTACAAAAAAAATGTACCATACTCAGCAAGCAGAGTCTCCACTAAAGTAATACAGTTCCTAGTATTACTATTGTAAAATCAGAATCAGTTAATATGTGATCTTCTTTCAGAAGATTTTTTTTGTCACAGCTATGGACCATTTTGTTATTAAGACAATGAAGGTAACTTACTGGATTTGTCAGTCGTGTCGTCGTACTCAACCAGAAAAGAGTAGCCATTATTCCAGATCTGCTGGCAGGTCCTTGGGTCATATTGTACCTTCAGAGGTCTGAGCTGTGGATCAAAGACGCTTTTACGCACCACAATGTCAATAGGCGACTGGCGATCTCCACCGGGAATGGCGAGCGGCTCCTGCCACATCGGATGCACTGAGAAGAAAATGACCAGTCAGGATAAGGAAACAGATCAAACTAGGTCAGTGTTTATCTAGGAAGGATTTCAGCCATCAAAAATGTGTAATTGCAAGCATGATGCCCCAAAATGCTGTCCAAGTAGGCAGAACGCCAGTTTTTTTTTTTTTTTAAGTCTAAAAAAAAAAAACTGTTGGTTTTTACAACCAATGAGACAAAAACATACCTTATCAAAACATCGATCGATAGATAGATAGACCGACCTACATTTTATGGCACAAAGTGCAGCCTCATGCGTTGAGTTACACATCTGTTCTGAAATTAAATGCTTAAAATCCAAACAGGAAAAAAGCAGCAAAAAGAAACCCAAAGCAGCACAAAAGCCGACAAGCCGTCCTTCTGGAGCGTATTAGAGAAGTGAAAGTCGAGAAGAAAATATGCTTCCTTCTGTGACTCGATGATTCAAAAAAAAGAAAAGAAAAAAAACTGACATGTGGAATGTCAGGGAAAAACTGACTGTAGAGCTCAACAGGAAGACAGTCAGCAGAGTTTTATGCCACCTTTATGAATGGACATTCCCTTGAGAATCTTATAGGCGATCCTTGTGCAAACATGTAAGAGCTCCTTTATACAGCAAGAAGCTCGTCTTACACAATAACTGCTTCGATTGTGGTCACATGCTCTAGATTCTACAAAAGGAGTTGAATTAAAACAGCCAGAGAATGTGACCAACTGCCTTTCATGAGATTAAAATGGCCTTTACTATAATTCCTGTCAGCCATTTAAGTGGTCTAGCAAAGAGGGATTACAACCGTGCTGCTGACCCATTTTATGGAAAGCAAACACAGCATGGGTTCTAACTAGAACTCTCTTATAAAATATCAAAAGACATACTCATTCAAGCTTAGTCTTTGATTAAATGTCCAACTTTTGAAATAGACTTGATTTGGGATGTTTACTCTGTTATTTTCTATCCCAAAACCATAGCTGACAGACCACATTCACTGAAATTATTTTATTGTATCCTTTGTTAACGTTTACTCGTTTGAACAAATAGGTTAGTTGCATGTAACCTTTACTTAGTAAACTTTAATTGTCCTTTGCTTTTATGTGGCTTTCAATGTGAGGTATAAATGGCTTTATTTGTTGATAAACCAATCTGGTTTAGATAAGATAATGTCTACACAATACAAATGACAGCTATAAGATACTGCTAATCACAAAGTAAAGATAGGAGCAGTGTTGGGGGTAACGCATTACAAGTAACGCAAGTTACGTAATCAGATTACTTTTTTCAAGTAACTAGTAAAGTAACACATTACTTTTTAATTTACAAGAGAATATCTGAGTTACTTTTTCAGATAAGTAACGCAAGTTACTTTTGTTTCCAATTTATTGATTGACAGCTCTGGTGTCGCCATGGTGACAGAAAACAGATGTTACTGTAGATCTAAAATAAATATGAATATGCATTCATTCATCTCACTCACTCACAAAAAAACACAGATTCAGTATTCCTCAAAACGAATAAAAATAACGCAACTCAGAATATGACGCAAACCTGCAATAATGAAATGTTAAACAACAAAAATCATTTATGTATTTAATCCCATTCTATTAACCAATGTCTTTGCTTCTAACCTTCGATGATCCAGTTCAACCATACTAATCAGCAAAAATGACTCTAGACAAACATTTGTGTTTTTTTTACTGCTGAAGTGTGTTGAAATTTCTTCTTCTGCATTCTTCTGTACGGACGTACGTATACTTTCCCTTCAGCCTGAGGCTTATTCATTTCACTTTTGGTGTGAAAAGGCTTTTATATTTGCCCAAAATAGAACTTTTTTATTTTAAAAACAAACAAGCAAGCCCTGTCCAGATTTAAAAAGTAACGCAAAAGTAACGTAACGCATTACTTTCCATAAAAAGTAAGTAAGTAACGTAATTAGTTACTTTTTTTAATGCAGTAACGCAATATTGTAATGCATTACTTTTAAAAGTAACTTTCCACAACACTGGATAGGAGTATAAATAACAGTTATATTAATATACAAGAATATGAAATGAATCATTCTTGCATGCAAACCTCTTATTACGAATTATGAAATCTAAGTTTATAAATAACTACTCCCACTGAGAGAGAACTAAGCTTAGCCTAAGTTTACAACCTTGTTACCCACTCCTTCTTGCAAAAATTGCATAATTATTATTTTTTTGATTGGCATTGAACATTAAATACACAGTAAATGTATTGAAAAGGCAAGAAAAGTACTTTCCATTTTAAAAGTTTTAGGCCCTATCTTGAACCCTATTTAAATGTCTTTATCAGCTTGGTTTGATTATCAGTAACTATCAAGAAGAAATCAACAAATGACACACTCATACTACTAAAAACGGATCAAATTCAGTTTATTTTTTTAAAGAGCTCTTATGGAGGGGGGAAACGGTTTTATTTGTCCTTTAATGAAATATACTCGGTCTCGTGTGACTTATATTGCATCTTCAAGGCCGTTTTCAATGAATGCTCTGCAGACATAATAAACATGGCCCATATCTCTCATGGGCGGGGCTTGTGGAGAAACAGTGACATGTGAAACACGAAGTAAACTGATGGGGTTAGTACATACATCCTTAATGAGAACACTCAAGCTTCACTTACCAACAAAAACACGATAAACTACTGCAGCTTCCTGACACATTCAACGCAGTGATCGTTTCCCGCCGTTTCATGTAAACATTCCGTTTGACGCAAAACCCGGAAGTCACTGAGGAAGGCGTTTTCGTCGATCATAAACATACAGATTGTGACCGTATAATCATCAGCCCAGTCATAACGGACATTACAACATCTGTAATAAACCCTAGTGGTGTAAATAGTGCACAAATAGTCTAGCAAAAAGACCACTCACCTAAACAAGGTGGTGGGATTTCTATCATGACACAAACCAAAAAATGCACTAACCTCGACTGAGAAGTAATTTGCTGGAGCATGCAGACAAGTTACATGCCCGAGATGGTATCCAGCGCTGGCTTCTGCCATGCTTCACCAGCTGCCTGTGGATCTGCCGACCGAGAGGCGCGACGATCGCGGTCAGTGTCACCATGATGTTGGCCGTTTACTTTAATAACCTAAAAATATATTATATAGTCATGCCGTTGACATGTAAAATATTGTCCTTTCGCGTGCGCTCGCGTGCCGAACTTGTGCCAACAACACCCAGCTCGCTCTCGCGCCCTACTGATTGGCGGATGAAGGCAAAAAGGGCAGGTTAACAACACCCACCAAACTCCGAACGGAGATCTAGAGGTTTCTTAGGAAACTCGCAGCTTTTCATTGTAGTCAAGGCAGCAGGACGAAATGACGCGCATTTGGACGGACAGGTTTAAATATCCCATTAAAGGGGGGATAAAATGGAGGACTACGTCCAGCTGGGGGTCCAAACTCAATCCAATCAGCTTCATCCACTGAGGGGCGTTAGGGCTTAATTATATGCACAGGAGGGACGAGACAGGACACGAGGAAATGGTTGTCACATTCAAGACTTAGGGAATTTATTTACAATATTATTACCTATTTATATATGTAAATATAATAATGGTGACCATTATTTAGTGGAAAATGTTATATAAATATATATATATACACGCACACATATAAATATATATTTTCCAAAATTGTCGCCATTATTACCCAGTTTATATAATATATATATATATGGGTAATATTTTTTCATGAATCGGTTTACATAACCGATATATTAAGACAGTTAGTTTAGTGTTAGTTTTCCACGAAGTGATGTAAATTATTTCAATATTTAATTTAGGCTCTAAATTAAGTTTTTGACAAACTGAACCGGGACAGATGATTACAAATAAATACAAACAGAAAGAAAAAAAACTGTGGAAAACTAACACGTCTTAGTAAAGACTTGTCAGTGAGTTTGAATTGTGCGAAAAGTGAGTTCACAACACAACCGGTTATGTGAACCAAACGACCCATAGTTTACCATTTAAGCGGACAGACATTTGTGGTAGTGTCTGAAACCATGGTGGACACTATGGAGTGCACTCATTCAATCCCATAATAATGCATCGCAATAACTAGTGTACAGCCACTCAACAGCTAGTCATTGTGAGCACTGGGAAGCATAGGACCTATGTTTTCTGTGTTTTTCATCGTTTGCGAAACGAAAATTGCTCTGAATGGACACGAGATGGTATTAATTCCTTGTCTGTAAAAGATTTTTCTGCAAACATAGTATTCACACAGAAAAAAAAAAAAGTATTTTGACCTAATAAACCGTTGACAATTTCCAACAAAATTTGACACTTAATACAAAAACTTGCATTTCAGTTGAGGTGCCAACTAGGGGAAGGGTTAACGTGTCATGTAGCATCTTCGATGAACCCTACGGACCACAAATACCACGTGAACGGTGGACTCTGACATCTACGTGAGCAAGAAGAGAAAACAGAATGTTCTTACGTCAAACATTCTAATGTAAATAAAGTGCAATTAGGACATTGTACCCTTTCAAGACCATGCTTTCTTTGGTAAATAAAGGTTAAATGAGACGATGCCCTAGTTTATTTAGCTGCTTAGTTTGGTCAGTAAATGAGGAATGGGCTCATTTATACTACCCGAGTAAAGACTAAAATTATAAGAATGAAACCCAAAGATGTAAATAGTTGTCTTAAGTGTATTTTCTTAAAAAAGGAAGTCACAATATTTTTCATTGTGGTTCTAAAGCAATGCAAGAGAAGACATACCAGCCATCATACAGTAATACACTGTTACTGTAAAATGATTTGGTGATCAGAAATATTAAGGTTGTCAACACAAACAACCTGTAATAAATATGGAATATGGTTTTCAAGATGAAAAAAAAATGCATCGAAATACCATGAGCACTTTAGTCAGCCTTTCTAAACCACTGCAAAATACGAGGACACACATTGTAAAAAATACGATGTTGAAAAGCATTTTATCCATCTTGAGGAAAACCTAACCGAGTGTAGTTCATAACTCAGCCGTTTTCTGATCCCAAAAAACAAAGGACAGAACTTAAAGACGACATCCATTGAGCTTGAACCATATTGTACAGATATATTTACATGTTTGGTAAGAGAAACCGTACAAAAATTCAACTGGAGGAAAATCCTCTATTGTGGGCAGGTGAAATCTTGTGAATGATGCTAGTCTAGAGCGATGATGTCTTCATCATCATCGGCCGGCTGCTGGTCGAGGCGTTTACGCTTGGACGCAGCATCATCAGCGTCATGATGCTTCCTCTTGCGGTTACTAGACTCTGGGGAAGCTTCCATGGTGCTCGAGGACGGTTCTTCGTCTGAGTCTATGATAAGGACATCATCATCCTCTGCAGCTGCTGTAAACATGAGAAAAGTACATTACTCAAATGCAACAAAACTTTCTCACCCATAAAGTACAAAATGAGATGTTTAGCGGAATGTCCAAGCTGCTTGTTTCCAATTTTAAAGGGGTCATATGATGCGATTTCAAGTTTTCCTTTCTCTTTGGAGTGTTACAAGCTGATTGTGCATAGATAAGATCCCTGAAGTTGCAAAGACAAAATCTCAAAACCAAAGAGATATTCTTTATCAAAGTTAAGACTATGCCACGCCCCCCTAAAACGGCTCGTTCGACCCCTTTAAGGTGAATTATTTCTTTTAAAGACTGATGTTTTGCAGGCAATCCATGTTGATCTTACCTTTAGATGAGGTAGACGGCTGGGCAGAATCTTTGTTACCGTTGGCAATGTTTTTCCCTTCTTCTGGGGCACTTGGTGCAGGCGCCTTATCCGGGGCGTCACCCACTACTTCAAACTCAACATCCTTTTCCAATTCCTCGCTGCAATAAATGCAAGATACATTTTAATATTCAAGAAATCCAAAGTATCATCCTCTTAGCTAAATGAAGCCACACTGACCTGTGAATGACATTGACTAGAAGAGTGTAATCCTGAAGGAAATCATCTGCTTGAAGACGGCTCCCATTCCGAATCCCAAAGTCGGACAAAAACTTGTTATTGTTTGCTGCAGAGAAACAGAGAGACCAACACATTAAAAAAAAGCTCAGAGTATGTTATAGTAGAGAAAGATGCCCTCTAGAGGCTGACTTAATTCACACCTTCAGTCTCTCCTTCCTCTGAAGAGATGAGGATCGTTCCTTTGCCATCCTCAATTTGCACATCTGGTGCCACCATACCAAACTTCTCCTTCAGTATCTGAAAAAGCAACACCATAAATAAACGCTCAAATGTTTAAATCCAGACTTGAATCTCTTGGAGATCACACAAACATCAAGGCTTTTGGATTGAAATAAATTACTGGTACCTTGTCCTGAAGAGCTTGCACAATGGTCTTGTGCACATTAAGTTTGACTGTGACCTCAGGTTTGCTGGCACACACGTAACAGTTTGAATTGGGCCGGTCCAGCGCACACGGAACAAGAAGCTTTTTCCTGGGGTTCGGCTGCTTATTCAGGAAGATCTTTAAAAAAAATAAAAATACAACAACATAGGAGTAAGGCTATGGGCCATAGGCATAAGGAAGTGAGTGTGCAAGAGTAGCCACATTTCCATTACCCTTCAAAGTGCGCAAATTGTGAATTTAAAATAAGCCCAATAGAAACACACCACTTTCGCAAAAACTTCCATATAATTGCAAAAAAGTTTACACGCTTACATGAGATGGTTTTTCAGGTAATTCGGAAAAGGAATATATCACAAAACTGCAATGGAAACAGTTTTTTCACATTAACAGTTCACCTGGCGTGCATAAGTCACATTATCACTCTTTAATGTACTATTACCTCAAATAACACCTTTCTTTCCTTGCCATTAATGCTAGGATAACCCCTTATTTACACTGCATTACGGCTCCAAGATGTCCACTATCGCTGATCGTGGTAGTAAACCAAAGTGTTGAACATTTTATTGGTTGCATTTTTATAACACCATGTCCCATCCAGTAATGAGAATTTCTACACACACTTGTGGTCTTCATGTTTGAACACTTGGGCCAAATACAGGAAATGTCATACAAGTAGTAAGAAAGTGCAAAGACCACAAAAGTGTGAGTTTCTGGACAAGCCCTATGACTCCCACCTATACCACTCGACAAGACTTTTAAAAACAGACTAAGGTCAAAAAAAGGTCTTTACAACTAAGATTACTGCTGAGATGTAATTACCTTAAACCAAGTGGGAAAAACAAATGCAAAGATGTGTTAGATTCGACAGGACATGATGCAATTCGGGTTTCAAAGTGTCAAAGGAGTAACACTGCAAGCTTACCGTGCGACACTGGTCGAAGTCGGAGTTGAGAATCTTCAGCGCCTCCAGAACAATGAGACCAGCGATGACGGCATTAGTGGTGGCTATTGCTGGAATGATGTTCCCTGCCATGGCTAGATGAGAAGGCAACATAGATTAAAGCTAGGCCTGGGCGATAAAACAGTATCGATATTTATCGACGGTACACCCTCTTCGATAACGATAGAAAAATTATTCGATATAGTGCACGATATAGGCACATGCTATGAGTGACGCAGACAGCACACACAAACACGAACATGAGTGCTGTGCCTGTCTGTGACGAGGAGATTGTGAATAAAAAAAATTAAAAAAAAGAATATTAGTCGAATTTAAAATAAACTTTTGCATTTGAATGCAAAAATAGTACAATCAAATGTTAGGTGTGCGTCAGAGAGCGTCATCAGTGAAGCGCAAGATGTGGTGATGATGTTGCAAGTGACGGCGTTGCATTTGACTGTTTTGTTAGTCTCGCCCACGAGACGCGCCGCTGCTGCGTTATTCATTCAAAATATTCGAGAAATATAGAAGCTCAATGCTTAGAAGATCTTGATTAGGTTAAAACCAAAACCAAGCCATTCACACAGAATGCATATTCAGCACATTTTTTACACGGACAAATACAACTGCTGCACTCGCGTCTCACACAAGAGAAATATAGAAAGCCATGCAAAGTTAAAATCGTTTAAACTTTTAGAAAACATCATGAATTTGTGGAGGTTAATTCCTTTTCACTGCGTCTCATATGTTTTTAAAGGCAATCTGTGTGATGGGAGATTCGGCTCTTTGTTCAAAATATGTTTGATTTATACAAGTTAATTTAGACGTAATGCACATTTTTTTATAGACAGTTATTTCAATTTAATTTGCATTATCTTGCTCATCGCGCCCTCCTGTGGCCTCGGGAAACAAGCCAAAAGTTTCCTTAAAGGGGTATTTAATCTGCATTAAAAAAAACATTAGAAATTAGATATTACATTTTTATTTTGTGTTTGACTGTTAAAATAAAAAAATATTAGTTTTTCCTCAAATTGGGTTAAT